TGGGTGGCCCCTCGCTGCTGGGACAGCACGGGGGGCGGGGCAGGTGGCTCTGAGCTGCACCCACTGTTTCTGGGACTGCAGAGCGAGACACCTCACCTAGCACCCCCCATACCCCCGCCCCCACCCCCGTTCCTAAGGTCCGTCCGGGCAGGAAGAAGCCCACAGAGACCCAGAGACCATGGGCCTGAGGCTAACGAAGGGCTGGACAGTGTCCAGCTGCAGCCCATGTTCCCAGATCTGCAGGGAGGGCAGCCTACCCCACAGCCCCGCCCCCCACCACGCAAACTAGACAAACTAGACCCCCTGGGAGGCGGGAAGACTGACCACAAGGTCACAGGGGACAGGAGGGGAATCTGGTGCTCTGGGCCCCGCCCGTCTGGCCTGCCCCCAGCCCTCCCTCCTCCTCCAGCACCTTCTCTCTGCCACACCCATTCCCTGCCCTCCCCGGATGCCGGGCAGGGCCAAGTGCCATGAGCCAGAGTGGCCCATTTACAGAACCGGCCACGCCACCCTGAACACACCCGATCCCGGCTGATCTCGGAAGCTAAGCAGGGTCGGGCCTGGCTGGGAGACCACCCAGGAAGACCAGGTGCTGCAGGCTTAAAAAATAAAAAATAAAGAACCGCGGAAGGTGAATCTTGACCGCAATCGGCACTGTGACCACAGGCAGAGCCTCCCGTCACACCGGGGACAGACGCGTGGACGCGTATCCGCCTGCCGTTTTCCAAGCCGAACAGAGAAAGCCGGTCGGGGGCTTCACCACACGGCTCCTCGGCCCACAAGAGGCGGCTTGGGAGCCACGGTTCGTGAGGAATTGCTTAGACATTTCGAACACACGGGGGACAGTGGCTCCCCAGAACTAACTCTGGCCAGCGTGATAACTTAGGCCTCCCTGCACTTCTGTCTCCCCCAGTGCGAAGACCAAGCTCTGTCTGCGGAGGAAGGTGCCACCGGGGCCTGGGGCACAGAGATCAGACTCGAAGCGAAGCCCCAGAGCAGCCCCCGTGGGACGCCTCGAGAGAGGCAGATGCACAGAGAACCCCGAACCCCAGTGCTCTGACAGTGCGCCCCAACCCAAGCCCGAGAGCTGGCCGTCACACTGCTGGTTTCCGCATTAGACATCTGTGTCTTTAAAAATCCATCGCGCTGCTTTTTCCCATGGAGATTAATGATGACGGGCACCTCCCGATACTCACGGCCTCTGGTCGGCCGTGGGCGGCTTGCTGTGGTGGATGTACCAGTCTGGCAGAGAGTAGGTGACTGCGGAGCCTTTCCTGGTCCCCGTCCCGGACCCGGCCCCGGGGACCAAGTGCATCAACAGATCTCAAAACCAAAAAGAGGCACCGTGAGTGGTTCCCGCCCCCGGCCCCTCGGCATGACGAGCTGGCTGGTCACAGCCTACGAGGGGCACTGAATCCTCCCGGGGTCGGCTCTGGGCCCCGGGCACCCCGGTCATCACCCACCTATGCGCATGCTCAAGTGGGGCCCTGTCTGGAGCGCAGAGGGACAGCCTCATGCACCCCCACCCTGAGCCGGCATCCGTGCACACAGCACCCCCCGTTACGGCAGAGCGTCATCCCTCCAGGCCAAACCCCTCGGGTCTCCCCAGCCGGCCCCGCCTCGAACCCCACCAGCCTCGCAGCCTCGGCATCTGAGCCCTCCCAGCTCACTCACGGATGAGGTTAGGGGCTCCCCGGAACACCTGCTGGAACTCGCCTAAGCTCCCCGTCACCTACACGTTAACGCACGGGGCGAGGGCAGCGAGAATGGCCCACAAGGGACGCTTCGCGAGCTGCTCAGGAAGCGGTGGCCCCGGCCAGGCCACTAACGGGCACAGACTGTCCTGTGGACAGCTTCCTGAGGTGGCACTCCGAAAGCGAAACGGCTGAATCCCGGCCAGGGAGTCACCCGGGAGAAAACTGCTCCGAGGCCAGTCCGCGGGCTCCGACGATGGCGTCTGCCCGCTCCGCGCGGCCGCGCGCCCCTCCAGACCGCACGCGCGCCTGCTGCGCCCTGCCTGACCCCCCAGCGCCTGTGCACACCTCACGCTCGGACGAAGAAATGATTCCAAACAACCCCCGCTGCCCCCACACCGCGGAAGACCCCGGAGGCGCTGGCGTGCTTACCGGGCCGGCCGCCCTGCTTGGCCAGCTTCACGTACTCCGAGTCCGTCTCTTTGATCCAGTACCTCCGCGTCCCCAGCACGTGCCCATTGGGGGGGTCCCGAAGCTCGCTGAGGCCTGGGATCTGGGACGCCGGTGGGACATCCACGGCCTTCTCGGACCGCTTTGCAGGAAGGTGGTAGTACCAGTCTGGGGAGGAGGGGGCCGAGGTCAGGTGGTTTAGTGCACTGCCTGGAACACAGCCATGCCTGGAGGGCGCTCGTCCTGCATGGGCCATTGGGACGGGGGACACTGCCACAGGACATACATGCTGTGAAGGTGTCTCTAGATGAGATGGACACTTAAGTCAATAGGCTCTGCGTGAAGCAGGTCACCCTCCCTAATGCAGGTGGGCCTTGTCCAATCAGTTGAAGGGCTTAAGAAAAGAGACAGAGGTCCCCAGAGGAAGAGGGAGTTTTGCCCCCAGATGCCGACAGGCTCAAGGCGCATGCAGCAGCCGCTCTGCCCTGGGTCTGCGGCCCATCCTGCTGACTTTGGACCTGCCAGTCTCCCACTGTGTGAGCCAGTTCCCTAAACTCACTCTCTCTGGTGTGTATACACACACGTACACACACACCAGGTTCTACACACGTACACACGCGCCAGGTTCTACACACGTACACACACGCCAGGTTCTGTCGCTCTGGAGAAGCCTGCCCAGCACAGGAGGCATGGAGCTAAACGGGGACGCGACCTCAGATCGAGCAATCACACGAGCAGCCAGGGACCACACGAACAAAAATCATCGTCCTCTAAGCTAAAAGCTTAGACGTCCAATTTCTCCTTAGAACTAAAGCTGCATTCACTGCATGTAAGTAAATATTTAACATGGCAAGTCTTTTAAATATCTTAAGGACAATAATTAGCTGAATCAACACTAAAGTTTTGAAAGTGAGAGAAATCCCACTGGGAAAGGAGCAAGGACTGTGCCGAAGCTCATGGAAAATCAGCATAAGAATTAAGTTTAGGAGCTTTGGGCGCTGCTGATCACCTCAGCTCTCGGCTGGAGTCTTGTCTCCCAGACAGGAGGCGTTCGATTCTTGCTTTATTTTCCTGCGTTGTGATTACTAATTAATCCACAGAGAACACTGTGTCTGCTTTTTTCTCATTATTGGAAGCTTTGGAAGCGTGTGCAAAGGAGCTCAGAGAGCCCAGGCCCAAGTCACCGAGAACCAGCTGTCACCAGCGCACACGCACGAGGTTAAGGTGGACAAGAATTGTCCTGTAGCTTCTATCGCTCAAAGACAATGATCACTTGCATGGCCCTGGATCACCGACTGCCCTGTGGATTTCTGTGAGCTGCCATATTCCATCAACCAGGAGGCAGTCGAGAGGGACGGGCGAGGACCCGGGGCCCGCAGCTCTGGTCCCCAGGCACACAGGGTCCCACGCCCGCGTACCACAGGGGATCTGGAGGACAGCCCCACCGTCCACGCCTCTGGCCGCCAGGTCCCCAGAGGACAGTGGTCAAAGCCTGGCAAGGGAGCCCCCTGTGAGGGGTGCGACCTCTGGCAGCGTCCTAAGACTGTGCCTGTTTCATCATCTATAAACCGAGGTTCATGACACCTCATCGCACTGTTTTGAGGTTAAATGACCACTCACTAAGGCACAGTGGGTCACACGTAGGCTGAGCCCGTGCAGGGGAGGGAAACCACCAGGCTTCCAGTACCCCAGCCACAGCTCTCGGCTGGGCCACCGAGTCACCACTAGTGGTCCCAGTCGGCGGGGGCCAGAAGCGCATCTAGGTCATGTGAAATCCATGCTCCGTCTCCTCTGGGCAGACAGAGGGCTGCGGCCCCTCCCCGCCTCTGCCGTGGAGCCTCTAGAGCGAACCCTCTCCACCTTCTTCTCCAGTCCTTCCCAAGCCGGGGAGCAGTCAGAACCGGCAGGGACAGGGGACAGGCCGCCACACGCAGGCTGTCCTCCTCCGCCCTGGCCTGGCTTCAGCCCTGCTAAGCGCAGAGGCTGCGAACACCAGCCCTGCTTGGCTTCCTGCGCCAGGCACTGTAAGCAGGATGTGGTTAACTGGGCCAGGTGTAAATTAGGGGCCGGGAGAGGCCATCAGAGAAGGACACGCTGCCGCTGAAGGAGGAGGCGCCTAGGTCAGCACTGGGGGGAGAGGGGGAGGCCTTGAGACCATGAGGTGGGGGGCTGGTACGGGGACACCTCAGCGCTGCCCCCACAGCCACCGGGGCAGCGGGCAGCCTGGTTTCCTTTCTATGAAAACAGAGAAAAACAAGACAAACCCGCACCCCACTTCCCTTTAAACCTTGCTTGGGCACTGGGGCCCTGGACCTGTGCCCTGTCTCTGAGCATCACGTGTTAGCTCAGCCCGGGTCGTGAGAGCCAACTGTCCAGCAGCCGAGGAGGCCGACCCCGCCCCCCGCCCCCCAGCCAGCAGCCGAG